CGGTTTGGGACGGAGTTTCCCGTCCTGCGTCTGCACTCTGACAGAGGTGGTGAGTTTTCCTCCGACCTCTTGGCAGCCTTCTGTGAGGAGCACGGCATCACCCAGTCGTTCACGCTTCCGGCCTCTCCGCAGCAGAATGGGGTTGCTGAGCGCCGCATTGGCTTAGTCATGGAGGTCGCTCGTACCTCCATGATCCATGCGGCTGCCCCCCATTTTTTGTGGCCGTTTGCGGTCCGATACGCCGCGCATCAGCTCAACCTCTGGCCCCGTGTCTCCTTGCCGGAGACCTCGCCCACACTGCTGTGGACGGGGAAGGTTGGCGATGCGTCGCGTTTCCGGGTCTGGGGTGCTCGTGCCTTTGTCCGCGATACCACCGCAGACAAGCTCTCCGCCCGCGCTGTTCCTTGTGTCTTCCTTGGCTTTGTCCCTGACGCGCCTGGTTGGCAGTTTTACCACCCCACCTCGCGCCGTGTCTTCCCCTCTCAGGACGTCACGTTCGACGAGTCGGTTCCCTTTTACCGTCTCTTCCCCTACCGCACTGCCCCTCTCCCCTCCCCGCCGCTCTTCCTCGCTCCAGGTGCTCCCCACATAGACCCCCTCCCCACTCCCGGTCCTGCTCCTTCAGGTCTATCTCAGGTAGACCCTCCTCCCTTGCCTGCGCTGGTTGAGGTCACTGGTGGCTCAGGTCCTGCTGAGGGTGGTCCTGCTCGGGGTGCTGCCTCTGGGGGTGCTGAGCCCGGGGGTGCGGAGCCTTGGGGTGCGGAGCCTGGGGTGCTGAGCCTGGAGGTGCGGAGCCTGAGGTTGCGGAGTCTGGAGCTACTGGGGGTGCTGGAGCTGGAGGTTCTGGAGCTGCTGAGGGTGCTGGCGCTGGAGGTTCTGGAGCTGCTGCGGGTGCTGGCGCTGGAGGTTCTGGATCTGCTGCGGGTGCTGGCGCTGGACGTTCTGGAGCTACTGCGGGTGCTGGCGCTGGAGGTTCTGGAGCTGCTGCGGGTGCTGGCTCAAGAGGTTCTGGAGCTGCTGCGGGTGCTGGCGCTGAGGGTTCTGATTCTGCTGTTGCGCGGTCTCCCTGGAGTAGCCGCCTTCGTCCGCGTGTGCCTCTCACCTCACAGCAGCTGCACGACTGGTACGGTCGCCGTCAGGGTCGCGCTTCTGGAGCTCGGGGCTCTGCCGCTGGAGGTGTTTCTGCTGTAGTCACTGGAGCTGGGAGTGGTGCTGGTCCCGGAGGTGCTCGTACTGGAGGTACTGGAGCTGCTGGGGCTGGAGGTGCTGCTGAGCCTGAGGGTGCTGCTGCTGGAGACCCTAGGTCTAGGGGTGCTGCTGCTGGAGACACTGAGGCTGGTGACCCTGGGACTGGAGGTGCTGGTTCTGGGGGTGCTGCTGCTGGTGGAGCTGGTCCTGAAGGAGCTGGCGCTAAGGGCTCTGGAGCTGCTGGAGGTGTTGGAGCTGCTGGTACTGGTGGCACTGCACAGCCGCGCCTGTTCTTCGCTCCACCGTCTCCGTCGTCTCAGCCACCACCTGACTCTGTGCTTCACCAGGTCCTTATTCTCCCTTCGTCTACTGGTCTTCCGTTACAGCCTGGCTCACCGCTGCCTGCTCCTTCTCCTTACACTAAGCAGACAGGGGGTTTTACTGAGCGTTGAGAGCCTGTGTCGCGTCCTGTCTCGCCTGTCCGTTCTAGTAGTTCCGGTCGTCGTGTTCCTCTTTCGCGTCAGCAGACTGTCCCCGGCACCAACCTCGTAGTTCGTCGTCCTTCCTCTTCTCTGCAGCGTGTCCCCCTGCCGTCCCCTCCTGCGTCTTCTCTGCCTACCGTTCCTGAGCCTGACTCTGACCGCACCCGTGCTGCTCACCCTAATGTCACGCGTCTGCTAGCCACTGTTGTCACTGACCCGTCGTTTGAGTCTGCTGCTGCGTCTGCCTTTGTCGCTGAGCTTGTTGACTTTGCTGCTGCCTGTTGTCTAGACTACGCCGCTAGTCTTATTGCTGAGTCTGAGTCTGTCTGTCCTCCGTCCGTCGGGGGTGAGTGTGCTCTTGGCACGGACGTCCTTGAGGACAGGCAGGAGAACCTTGAGTGTCTTGCAGCTGCTGCGCCTCATCTCGTGTCCATGCTACTTGCCCCTGAGGGAGACCCGGATGCTCCAGACATCCCGACCCCTCGCTCTTACACTGAGGCGATCGCGGGTGAGTACTCTTCTCAGTGGCAGACAACCATGGACGCAGAGATGGCATCCTGGAAGTACACAGGCACCTACGTCGACGAGGTTCCTCCTCCTGGGGCGAACATCGTCAGAGGCATGTGGATTTTCAAGGTGAAGCGGCCGCCAGGTTCTCCGCCTGTCTTCAAGGCTCGTTACGTTGCTCGAGGTTTCAGTCAGGGAGAGGGAGTTGACTTCTTTCAGACCTTCTCCCCCACCCCGAAGATGACCACTCTTCGGATGCTGCTGCACGTTGCCGCTCAGCGTGACTATGAGCTTCACTCTCTTGACTTCAGCACAGCTTTCTTACACGGCAGCCAGCACGAGGAGATCTGGCTGCGCCGCCCTCCTGGCTTCACTGGGTCGTTCCCTGCAGGTACCCAGTGGAGCCTCCGGCGGCGAGTCTACGGTCTCCGCCAGGCACCACGTGAGTGGCACGACACACTGAGAACTACACTTGCGGCTCTTGGGTTTGCTCCGTCGACTGCTGACCCGTCGCTGTTTCTGCGCACCGACACGTCGCTACCGCTGTTCTACATCCACTTGTACGTCGACGACTTGGTCTTTGCCACTGCTGATACTGAGGCTCTCGCCCTGGTGAAGTCGGAGCTACAGAAGAGACACACGTGCACAGACCTGGGTGAACTGCGCAGCTACCTTGGCTTGCAGATCACCCGGGACAGAGCACGCCGCACCATCACACTGACTCAGTCACACATGGTGCAGCAGGTCCTTCAGCGCTTCGGCTTCACCTGGTCCTCGCCACAGCACACTCCTCTGGCTACAGGCCACTCGCTCTCAGCTCCACCTTCGGACGAGTCCGTAGAGCCGAGTGGCCCGTATCCAGAGCTTGTGGGCTGCCTCATGTACCTGATGACCTACACTCGACCTGACCTTGCGTACCCTCTTGGCCTTCTGGCTCGCTACGTGGCTCCTGGTCGGCACCGAAAGGTGCACATGGATGCTGCGAAGAGGGTACTGCGCTACTTGTGCGGTACATCGGGCATGGGGCTCGTGCTTGGAGGGCGGAGCGCAGTTGTCCTCACTAGGCACTCAGACGCTTCTTGGGTTGACGACCAGGCTACGCAGCGGTCGTCACAGGGGTACACCTTCAGCCTTGGCTCTGGTTCAGTTTCTTGGCGTTCTACATGCTCGTCTTCAGTTCTCAGCTCCAGTTGTGAGGCTGAGATCTACGCCACAGCCATGGCTGCACAGGAGTTACGCTGGCTCACCTACCTGATGACCGACTTGGGAGAGCGGCCTCGTTCTCCTCCAGTGCTGTACGTCGACAACAAGGCCGCCATTGCCTTGTGTCAGGAGCACAGACTGGAGCACAGAACGAAGCACATCGCTCTGCGTTACTTCCTGGCTCGAGAGTTGCAGCAGCGTGGTTTGCTTCGTCTTGCTCACGTGGCCACTCGGGCCAACACTGCTGATATATTCACCAAGGCACTTCCGTCTGGTGATCATCAGCGTTTCTGCACTTTGTTAGGCCTTGTGCCCACGTTTCCTCACTTGCTGTAGACTTTGCTTGTACTGTGATCTATATATATACCTGCATGCTTGCTCTGCTAGGTAGAGATCACTATGCTGTTATTGTTGCATATATACCTCTGCATGTGAATTGGCCTTGTGGCCCTCTGCTTGTGCTTAGTGTGTGTGGTGACGTTGTGATCCACCCTGAGCTTGCTTTGCTTCTCTTGACTGGTCTTGTGACCCTTTGTTCTCCCCCACTTTGCCTATGGGGGTGTGTCAAACGTTATATCTGCTATACATGTTTAAGCTGTAGTGGGGTAGCCAATATGGGGTACAGCCCACTTTAGGGTTTCATATTTGTACCCAACTCTTCCATAGTTCAATCATCCCTGCTGCTAGATTCTAACAACCGTTTGCATGTTCGCTCACATGTCTACTTGTTGCCAACTTAGTGCCAACCTCGCTACCTCGATACATATGCATCATGCCCTCAGATTGGTTTGAGGGTATGCTGATGGATCAGCGTGCCCCAACCAACGAGGTGTCCAAATCAGTGTTCTCGGTTTTTTTTATACTGATTTTGCCAGTGCAAAAATCATATGTAAACTGAACCAACAGTGTAATGACAAAAATATTTAGCTGAAACCCCAATACAAGGTGTGTGGTGTTGTTGCTGTGATAGGTTCCAGCGAGGCTAATATCTGAAACCCCAACACTTCGGCGCGCCCCTGATATCTGTGTAGTGCATGCGAAAAAATGTCAAGTGTGTGGGTGGGGTTTCAGGAATCACGGGAAGGTACAGATTGTACACGCGTACCCTATCATCCCTCTCCCCCCCCCACCCACGCGGTCAACTCCGTTTCAGTGTGACTCATGTCACTATACTGATTCGTCAGTGTTACTTGTACAGCAACACGCAAAATGGTCAGTGTGGCAAGGTAGGTTATACTGAAATTTCAGTGCAAAATTGAAGCATATGCTGAATTTTCAGGGAAAACGAAAATCACAGCTACAAAATCAGTGTAATCAGCGTGTTTTACGCTGATATCTGAGGGCCTGTGCATGCACCCGTAACAACCTATACTGATTACCGTATCAGGGATCTCATTTTTTTTTTTTTTAAATACACTGATAATCAGAGTACCAAAAATAAAAATACAAATGGCGGTGCGCAGGAGCCTTTTTTCAAACCAGTTTCCGCTTGTCTGCCAGCAACTGTCCTCAGTCACAACTGATTGCGAGTGTTGGTCTCTTCGTGCCGCTTTGCCTTCAGACTCGGTAGGTCTGCTCGTACAGGAATGCCAAGTGTACGGTAACTCCTAGTAACATCATTCACACCATTTTGCCAAGTGAGGATGATTCAGGCTTGGAGGAACCAAACGACTCGATGAACTCAAGCTGTTTTTCCAACGGAATGGACACCTGTGCCTGCACCATGCGCAGCTCGTCATCCACCTTGTGCGCAGCTCTGTTCTCCTCCACGCCAAAGCAATCCTGCCGTATGGCGCCCAGCTCGCTGTACACGTGGCTCATGGTGGGGCGCGTGGCGGTGGGCATGAGCGTGCAGCTGATGGCGAGGCGCACTGCTCGCAGCAGGATGTCATCAGGCAAGGGCGGGTGCAGCTGCGCATCCCTCAGGCGCGACAGATCATTGCTCTGCAGCGCCTCCTCAGCCTGCCGTGGGGGGGAGATGGAGGAATCGGGGGGAGGCGGGGAGGTCAATGAGAAGAAAAGGTTGATGGATGGTGCAGCATGAAACTACGATAGTACAGAAGGAAGACACGAAAGGGCTCACTCACCCATTCTTTGATGGTGCTGTTGCCACTGCCGGTGTTGACAAGCGCTCGCCTCCCCGTGATGACCTCAAGAATCACAATGCCAAAGCTGCCACGAGTCATTGCAGGCACACAAGGAGCGTATCAGCCAAGCGAACGCATTCCAGCTCGCATACGGCATGCACCCAGTGCACACGGACAACAGCACAAGCGCAGCGTCATTCCACCCTTGGAGGCTTGGCAGTGCCTGTTCACCACAGCTACATGCCCACACTCACCTGCGCACACACACTCACCTGCACTCACGTCCGCACTCACCTGCACACACACACGCACTCACCTGAACACATCAGTGGCGGTAGTGGCCTTGCGGGTGCGGGAATACGCAGGGTCCACATAGCCCGGCGTGCCAAGAATGCGAGTGGTGTACACGGAGGTGCCCTCGCCCATGCGCACAAGGCCAAAGTCGGCCACCTTGGCGTGCATGTGGACGTCCAGCAGAATGTTGGCCAGCTTGATGTCGCGATGCACGATGCCGAAGCTGTGCAGATACTCCAGCCCATGCGCCGCCCCCACCAGCACGTCCATGCGCTGCGCCAGCGTGAGTGTTTTCGCGGCGTCGGTGCCGACCCAGTGCTCGAGGTCGCCGTTGTGCATGAACTGGTAGATGAGGATCTGCTCCATGCGCTCGTTCACCGTGTCCATGTCCAGACAGTACCCCAGCAGCCGCACCAGGTTCGGGTGGTGCTTCGACGCCATCTCCTTGATCTGCCATGCGCCGCAGTCCATGGCAAGGGGAAGGGCCGAGGCCAGTCCAGGTGGGGTTAACGACGGACGGTGGAGAGATGGGGTGGAAAGGTGTGTGGGGGGGGAGAAGGGGGTCGGGGAGAGAGAGATTGGAGGCTGTGCTTGAGTTCCAGTGCCGGTACAAACATCTCAATGGATTATGTCAAAACACGTGCGAGGTGACAGCTTGTTTCAACCCACAAAAAAAAAAAAGCCCTCTAAGCCATCAGATGATGCATCCAAGAGGACGACCAGTGCATGGCCTTGACCCCATGCAGCGCAGTGTGCACGCACCTCGCGCTTGAAGTCGTTGGTGAGCACCTTGGCTCGCTTCACGGCCCATACCACCGAGGGGTCTGCGGGGTCCACAGCTCGGTACACGTCTGCGTACCCCCCGCTGCCAATGCGCTGCTCCTCCGCCCAGTTCCCTGTGGCCTGCTTGAGCACCGCCAGTGAGTACTGCCGGCACTGCATCGGCCCGCCTGCCCCTCCTGGTAAGGGCGCATACGGCGCTCCTGCTGCATCAGCATCAGCAGCAGCAGCAGCAGCAGAAGTGGTGGCACCTTCTGCCGCTCCCGCTGCTGCCATGGCTGCAGATTCTTCTGGGTCTGAAGGTGGAGATCGGTGAGAAGGTTGCGGAGGGGAGGGTGGGAAGGGAGTTGGCGGGCCCATACACTACAGAAAGGCACGGAAGAGGGGAGACATGAAGGAAAAGACGGAGTGGGTTGGGGAAGGCAAGACAGAAAAGAGCAGGTAGAGGTGAGAAAGGCACAAGGGAGTGAAAGGCGAAGGGAGTACCTTCCAGTGGCTGATCGCAGCAGAAGAGGGCGCGCACGTCCTTGTTGTGGCGGGCAACGAGCAGGTAGTATAGCAGCGCCACAATGAGGACAACTCCCGCCACGCACCCGATCACAATCCCCGCAATGGCACCCGCTGAAAGAGCTGCAAGCACGGGAGGACCGTTCAGAGGGGAGAAAATTCTTCTTATGGTCGTGACCAGCTACTGGGAAGGAGTGGAGAGGAGTGAGGGGAAGGGGGGATGTTGGTGAAACGCTGGCACTGCCCTGCTCTCTTGTGCGTTACAACTTACAGCCTCACTGCCTCTTCGCCGCACATTGCTGCACTGTACCTACAACAGGACTGTCTCGCATGTGCTTCCCTTGCATCTCCGCATTGCGCGCTGCGAAATGCCTCTAGTTGCCTGCCTTGACCGCCTAGCACAGCCGCGCTGACTGCCGCTCATTACAAGCCCATTTAAGACTACTACGCGACTACTACTACGGTCATCATTGGTAGTGCAATAAGGCCCGGTGACTCACACGATGATGATGATGCCGCGGAGGGCGCGGGAGCGGGAGCGGGAGCGTATAGGTAGAACGAGTCGTATTGTTGGAGCGCCTCCCGCCGCCATATGTCCTCGTCATAGTCCTCCTCGTACTCCTCTGTATAGTCCTCCCCGCCGATTTCTCCGTTCCCCTCTCCCCCCTTCGAGCCCTCTTTTTGCGACGCCGCGCTGACCCCCGCCAGCTGAGCCCCCTTCGCGCCAGTGAGCTTCGCGCGGGTGCTGGGGGGGAATAGGAGCCCGTCCGTCGTGTGCATCACGAAGCCCTTCGAGAATGCGGCGGCGTAATAAAATACAGGCACATCCGATACAGTCAAGCTCGCGTTATCCAGGTGCAGCACGAGGCTTTCGCCTTGCACGGTTCGCCAAGGGCCCTCCCACGCGTAACGCGAGATCTTGTCGCGAACGAAATGGTACATCATGACTTGACGGAGAGTGTCGACGTGGGATGAGTTCCGTAAGACGGCGACGATCTCGGCCGGCAGCCTGACCAGAGACTCGTCGGTCGGGGCGAAAACCGTAAATGGCGCGCCGTCAAGCGCGCCGCCGATGGCGCTGCGGACAGAAGCATGTCGTAGAAGCGCTCTAAAACCGGAATGTCCCAAATTTGCGAGGGTGTCAAGTAGGAGCTGCCACGTCGGGTCGAACACGTCGTGCGACGCACCACGTGGTGCGCGCACGGACGTCGGGAGACAGACCACGCACGAAGGCATGGCGGGTGTTACTATGACGAGCGCAACCACTGCTATACCGTACGCGAGTTTCGCTCGGTTGGCCTGCCGCGGCGTCATGGCCGCCAGTGGAAGCTATGCGCTGCTGCCGCGAGGGGCGGTGAAAGGTGCTGTAACGTATTACCCTAACTACCGAGCTAACAACCATCGATCTCTCTCTAAGTCAATTGTTGAGAACTTCTCTCGACAAAGGAAGAGTTGGAGAAGATGGTTGAGTTGGTTGGGATGAAACTTGGTTTGGGTTTGCCAAGCCTCAACTTTGGAGGTTTGGAACATTTCCAATCAACCAAGAGAATGTTGAAGTTTGGAATTCCAACCAATCAGAAACTGCCAAACAAGTGTTACAATCTACTCTATACTAAACACAACCATTGAATGGTTCTAAGTTGGGTTTTCCAACCCAACACAATTGCCACATAGGCTCCAAGCCTAGGAACCATCCCACCATGGAAACCATGGTTGGGATAGTTCCCCAAGGGGTGTATTGAGGGGGTCTGAGCTAAGCAAACTCATTCTCAACCTCCCACTCCAACAAAACAATTGGAAATGAGATTGTTTCTCAAGTCCTTTTGGGCTCTCTCACAAGTCTCCCTACACTACTACTCCAAGTGCTTTTCATCAAAGGCATCAAGAAGATCTTCATCTCCAAGGCTATTAAGGCTAGTTAAAGCTACTATTTTGTATTGGAATATTATAAAAGCCTTGTAACCGCCATTATAATAGCCCTGGGCATTACATTTGGAATCAGAGCCTAGGGTTCGAATCCCGGCTGGACCACACTTTCCACCTTTGGCGAGAACTGAAGTGCGGTTGTAACCAGCTCGAACCCAGCGAACGATCCTCCGCTGGACTGAGCAACCAGCGAAGTCGCAGCTAGCAGCACTGCGAAATCTAGGTCCCAGCGGCAGGGGGCCGACTTCCTGAAGTCCAGGGCCAACGGGGACGTTGGCACCAGGGGGGGACGAGTGTAACGCCTGTAGGCTGTGTTAAGGGCACTCCGCTGCGCCAAATAACACCCTCGTTTTGACCCAGTGGGTAGCGAGATGTTACATTTGGTATCAGAGCAAGGTTCTTCCTTGGCCTTGTGTGGCCATTTGCTACTTGGACTATTTTTTTTTGGAGGATCCTAGCTTGTGGATCCAGGATTTCATCCAAGGAGCTATCAAGATCTTTGAAGATTTTGAAGAAATTTCAAGATCTACAAGTGGTTCTTCAAGATCTACAAAAGCTTTTACAAGATCTCCAAGCTTCAAGCTTCAATCTCCTCAACACACCATTGGAGCTTCAAGATCTACAAAGAGCTCATTTTTCTTCATCAACATTGAGAAGAAATTTGAAGAGATTAATTTCTCTTACCCACCTTTGGTGGAAGACTCTTGATCTACTTTGTGTAGAAGAGTGTACCTTCAGATCTATAAAGGGCTTGTTGAGGATTACTCTCTTGAGTATATCTTGCTCTATCATTGAGGTGATAGAGAGATTTGGCAAACAAGTCTATCTTAAGAGATTCTGTATTGGATTATTCTATAAGAGTAATCAGATTTCTTAAAGATTATTATAAGATCTGTTGAGATCTCCTCTCCTTAACCTGTTTCATGGCTGCTGGTCAAGAGATGGATGCTACTAAGGAGGTGCCCGTTGTTGGCACTGAGGGAGATAATGCTGCTGCTGCTGCTGACATTGATCTCAACCTTGAGGATTTCGTGGTTGACATGGAGATCAATGGAAGTGAAGCTGACCTTGAGGCTGATGCTGAAAATGAGAAAGAGGCTGGCTCTGATGAGGGTGTTTCCAATGAAACTGAGAACATTGCTGTCAAGCTCCAGACTCAACTCACGGAGCAGAATATTCTCATTGGAGTGCAACAGTGTCGTATCCAGAACTTGGAGGCTGATTCTGTTAAGCTTCAGGCCTTGATTGAGCAGCTGACCAGGGAGGTGCAGTTGATCCCTAAGGAAAACGACACCTCCAGCCTCATTCAGGACCTGCACAACACTCTTCAGTTCGTGCAGGATCAGCTCAAGAAGCAGGAGAAAAGCATCTCTGTGCTTCAGACCCAGTACAGGGAGATCCGGCGTGGAAACCTTTACCAGCCTGCTCCTGCAGCAGAGCGAGTCGCCAACGCCGCTAACAGCCGTGCTGCACCTGCTGATGCACCTCCTGCTGTTCCTCCTCCTACTGGAGCACGTGCTGAGCCTCCTACTGCAGCAGCAACTGCCTTTGGCTCCTGCCCTTCGGCCCTGCCTCGTTTTGTCCATGGCAAGACCGACGTCGAGACTTGGCTCTCCATTGCGGAGGACTTTATGTCCATCCACAATGTGCGTAGCGAGGCTCGTGTGGTCGCTGCAACCCTTGCCCTGGACGACACTGCGAGCAAGTTGGTGTATGCCAACAAGCGCCACGCAGAGGCTAATGGCCATCCTTTTGGCTGGGAGGAGTTCAAAGCTGCCATGCTGGCGGCATTCCTGAGTCAGCCCCCGGCGCTCGAGGTGCGTAGCCGCCTGGAGAACATCCAGTGCGGTGACCAGCCTGTACGCGAGTACGCCAAGGAGTTTGAGAAAACTCTGTCGCTGCTGAAGACTGCTCTTCCTCAGAGCGAGGTCATCCACCAGTTCTTCAAGGGTCTCCCTGAGCACATCAAGCGTGTGCATGTTGTGCGTGGGGAGCACCAGTGGAGGACCTACAAGGAGTGCAAGGAGCAGGTCATTGACATGGATGTGAATTTCCGTGCGTACATGACTCACGCTCGTGCTCAGCAGCAGCCTAGTGCCGAAGGCCCTAGGGGGGGTGGTAACAGGACTCAGGCACACAGGGGCAGTGGCTCTTGGAAGAGGCCCTATCAGCAGAAGGGGGAATCCTCTGGGACTCAGTCCAAGAGGGCCCATGCTGGGCCTGCCAAGGATCCTCAGGATGAGGATAAGCCCCCGGCAGGCTGCCGCATCTGTGGCAAGCTCGGGCACAAGTCCTATCACTGCCGTTGGAGGAAGTCCGTCAAGAACTCCGGCAAGCCCAACCAGGGCAAGAAGCCGGATGGTTCTGGCCCTTCGGGCCCGAAGGATTTTCCGAAGTCCAACTAGGGGGTGGGTACCTAGTTGGTGAGCGAGATCGAGTAGATGAGGCTTATGTCCTTCGTGATGAGGATTTGCTAAAGCTAGAGAAGCTTGCATCATGCAAAATCGCTTGTTTGTATGCCTCTTCTATTAATGAAAAATCTGTTTTTAAAACTCGATCATACCCACTTGAAAACATCTCAATTGAATCCTTGAGAGATAAATTTTCGATCATCTCTTGCTCGTTCAACGAGTTGCCAGCAATCATGGATATTGTGGACCGTTGTGTCCAAGAGCACCCGCTCACGTCAGTGGGATTGGTGACTCGAATCGTGAAAGGAGAGTTGTTCCGCCGATTTCACGAATGGCATATCCTGGCAACATGGGACAAGGGGCACCATGTTTGGTGGACCACATCCCAAAGGTTTGGACGCGCTCACAACAAATTTAGGGTGTACTTTCGACCTCCTAAACTTGTTGTCGCTTGTCCCATCCGTCCAAGATTTCAACAGAATCTACTGTTATCTGGACGCATGAATGGGGACGAAGCAAGGATTCTCGTCGATACAGGCGCATCGGTTTCCCTTGTTGATGAAACTTGGGTTACGACACGCAACGTCCCCGTTGTAGGACCGTCGTGTCCCATCCGCTTGGGTGACGATCGTGTCATTCCAAGTAAAGGACAGACACATATCGACATGAAAGTACAGGACTATAGCAAAACAGTTCGCGTATATGTCCTACCACTTTTGTCAGGAGTCGACCTCATCCTGGGCATGGATTGGTTGAGAGCCAACGAAGTTATTCTGGACTTCCAGTACAACATTGTCTCATTCAACAAGAACGGAAAGGCAATCCAGTGGCAAGTCAATGATACTTTGCCCACTGAAACACAGACGCCTGAACGTCCCAGCGCGCTGTGTGTGTTGGCCAACCAATTCGGGCATTCTGTTAAGTCGGCTGATACACTATTCGTGGTACAACTTGAGAATGTCGAGGCCTCGGAGCCAGCAATTGAGGATTTCCCTCCTCAAATGAAAATACTGGCAGAGGAATTCAAGGAAGTGTTTGAAACCATCCCTGATGGACTTCCGCCTGACCGCGCAGTGGGTCACACCATCCCTGTTGAACCAGGAAAGGTTCCACCCTTTCGACCTCTGTATCGCCTCAGTCCAGCTGAGTACGAAGAGGCCAAACAACAGATCGAGGAATACCTCAGAAAAGGATGGATTGAACCCAGTGCATCCCCTTACGGAGCACCAATTTTGTTCGTTAACAAGAAGGGCGGAGGATTACGCATGTGCGTAGATTATCGTGCCTTGAACAAGATTACGGTGAAGAACAGATACCGTCTACCACGAATTGAGGATCTGTTCGATCGGCTCCAGGGAGCTCAGTGGTTCAGTGCGCTGGACTTAGCTCAGGGGTATCATCAGCTACGAATCACCGAAGAAGATGTTCCAAAAACGGCTTTCA